CATCCCCTGTTGTTAGTCACTAACAGTCCCCATTAACAACTACTCACCCTCCCGCCTGATCGTTAGCAACTCCTTTGTCTGTCCAACTGTCTTTCTCTCTCTTTGGGCTCTATCCTATCGTTTACTCACTACCCCACCCACCTCCCTATTTTCTGCACACAAACTGACGTTTTCCCACCCACCATCAGTTCTGAGGAAGGGTCACCGAACCCGAAACGTTAACTCTGTTTTCTCCTCCACAGATGCTGCCAGACCTGCTGGGCTTTTCCAGCAACTTTGTTTTTGTTCCTGATTTACAGCATCTGCAGTTCTTTTGATTTTTACTAAGGAGAAGGTACTGGGGGAGCTAAAAGGTCTGAAAGTGGATAAATTACACGGACCAGATGGACCACACCACAGAGTTCTGAAGAAGATAGCTAAGGAAGAGTGTGGAGGCATTGGTGGTGATCTTCCATGAATCACCGGAGTCCGGGAGGGTCCCCCAGAACTGGAAAACGTCTAATGTAATGTCCCTGTTTAAGAAGGGAGGGAGGGAGGTAGAAGACAGCAAACCATAGGCCGGTTAGCCTGACATTGGTCATTTGTAAGATTTGAGAGTCCAATATTAGGGATGAGATTGTGGAGTAAATGGAAGTCCATGGTAAAATAGGGCACAGTCAACACGGCTTCATCAAGGGAAGGCCATGCCTGATAAACCTGTGAGAATTCTTTAAGGAGGTAATGAGCAGGTTAGACAAAGGAGAGCCAGTGGACGTGATCAATTTGGATTTTGAGAAGGCCTTTGACAAGGTGCCACACAGGACACTGCTAAATAAAGATAAAAAGGGCATGGTGTTAGGGGCAAGGTATAGCATGGACAGAGGATTGGCTGCCTGGCAGAAGGTAGAGAGTAAGGATAAAGGGGTCTTTTTCAGGATGGTAGCCAGTGAATAGTGGAATTCCACAGGGGTCCATGTTGGGACCACAATTATTCACGTTATACATTATCAACCTGGATGCAGGAACCGAGAGCATTGTTGCTAAATTTGCAGATGACTCAAAAGTAAATAGAGGGACAGGTAGTGTTGAGGAAATGGCATGACTCCAGGTCAGGAGAGTAGGCAAAGAAGTGGCAGATGGAATACAATGTAGGAAAGTGTAAGGTTATGCACTTTGGTAGGAAGAATAGAGGCATAGACAATTTTCTAAACTGGGAAGGGCTTCAGAAATCTGAAGCACAGAGGGACTTGGGAATCCTAGTTCAGGATTCTGTTAAGGTTAACATGCAAGTTCAGTTTTTTCTATTCATTTGTGGGATGTGGGTGTTACTGGCTGGGCCCAGCATTTATTGCCTGTCCCTAGTTGCCCCTTGAAAAGGTGGTGGTGAGCTGCCTTCTTGAACCGCTGCAGTCCACCTGCTGTAGGTTGATCCACAATGCCCTTAGGGAAGGAATTCCAGGATTTTGACCCAGCAACAGTGAAGGAACAACAATATATATCCAAGTTAGGATTCTGAGTGGCTTGAATGGGAACTTGCAGAGGGTGGTGTTCCCATATATCTGTTGCCCTTGCCCTTCTAGATGGAAATGGTTGTGTGTTTGGAAGGTGCTGTCTGAGGATCTTTGGCAAATTTCTGCAGTTCATCTTGTAGATGGTACACATTGCTGCTACTGAGCGTCGGTGGTGGAGGGAGTAGATGCTTGTGGATGTGGTGCCAATCAAGTGGGCTGCTTTGTGCTGGATGGTGTTCAGCTTCTTGAGTGTTGTTGGAGCTGCCCCCATCCAGGCAAGTGGGGAGTATTCCATCACACTCCTGACTCATGGCTTGTAGATGGTGGACAGGCTTTGGGGACTCAGGAGGTGAATTACTCCTCGCAGTATTCTTAGCCTCTGACCTGCTCTTGTAGCCGCTGCGTTTATGTGGTGCGTCCAGTTGAGTTTCTGGTCAATGATAACCCCCAGGATGTTGACAGTGGGAGATTCAGTGATGATAACACCATTGAATGTCAAGGAGCGGTGGTTAGATGGTCTCTTGTTGGTGATGGTCATAGCCTGGCATTTGTGTGGTATGAATGTTACTTGCCACTTGTCAGCCCAAGCCTGGACATTGTCCAGATCATGTTGCATTTGGACACAGACTGCTTCAGTATCTGAGGAGTTGCGAATGGTACTGAACATTGTACAATCATCGGCGAACATCCCCATTTCTGACCCTCATAATGGAGGGAAGGTCATTGATGAAGCAGCTGAAGATGGTTGGGCCGAGGACACTACCCTGAGGAACTCCTGCAGAGATAGCCTGGAGCCGAGATGATTGACTGCCCACATCCACGACCATCTTCCTATGTGTCAGATATGACTCCAACCACCGGAGCGTTTGCCCCCCAATACCCACCGATTCCAGTTTTGCCAGGGATCCTTGATGCCACACTCGGTTGAATGCAGCCTTGATGTCAAGGGCTGTCACCCTCACCTCACCTTTGGAATTCAGTTCTTTTGTCCATGTTTGAACCAAGGCTGGAATGAGGTCAGGAGCTGAGTGGCCCTGGCTGAACCCAAACTGGGCGTCACTGAGCAGGTGCTGCTTGATAGCACTGTTGATGACACCTTCCATCACTTTACTGATGATCGAGAGGAGACTGATGGGGCGGTAATTGGCCGGGTTGGATTTGTCCTGCTTTTTGTGTACAGGACATACCTGGGTAATCTTCCACATTGTCGGGTAGATACCAGTGTTGTAACTGTACTGGAACAGCTTGGCTAGGGGAGCGGCAAGTTCTGGAGCACAAGTCTTCAGTATTATTGCTGGAATGTTGTCAGGGCCAGTAGCCTTTGCAGTATCCAGTGTCTCCAACAGTTTCTTGATATCACGTGGAGTGAATCGAATTGGCTGAAGACTGGTATCTGTAATGCTGGGGACCACCAGAGGAGGCTGAGACGGATCATCCACTCGGCCCTTCTGGCTGAAGACTGCTGCAAATGCTTCAGTTTTATCTTTTGCCCTGATGTGCTGGCTTCTTCCATCATTGAGGATGGGGATATTTGTGGAGCCTCCTCCTCCAGTGAGTTGTTTAATTGTCCACCACCATTCACAACTGGATGTTACAGGACTGCAGAGCTTAGATTTGATCTGTTGGTTGTGGGATCGCTTAGCTCTGTGTATCACTTCCTGGTTATGCTGTTTGGTGGCTTCACCAGGTTGATACCTCATCTTTAGGTTTGCCTGGTGCTGCTCCTGCCATGCCCTCCTGCACTCTCCATTGAAGCAGGGTTGATCCCCCTGGCTTGATGGTAATGGTTGAGTGGGGAATATGCCGGGCCATGAGGTTACAGATTGTGCTGGAGTACAATTCTGCTGTTGTTGATGGCCCACAGCGCCTCATGGATGCCGAGTCTTGAGTTGCTAGATCTGTGCGAAGCCTGTCCCATTTGGCACAGTGATAGTACCACACAATACGATGGACGTTGGTCTCAATGTGAAGGCAGGACTTCCTCTCCACAAGGACCATGTGATGGTCACTCTTACCGATACTGTCATGGACAGATGCAACTGCAGCTGGTAGATTGGTAAGGATGAGGTCAAGTATGTTTTTCCCTCGTTGGTTCCCTCACCACCTGCCGCAGACCCAGTATAGTAGCTATATCCTTTAGGACCCGACCAGCTCGATCAGTAGTACTGCTGCCAAGCCACTCTTGGTGGCGGATATTGAAATCCTCCACCCAGAGTACATTTTGTGCCCTTGCCATTCTCAGTGCTTCCTCTCAGCGTTTCTCAATATGGAGGAGGATCAACTCATCAACTGAGGGAGGACAGTAAATAGTAATCAGCAGGTTTCCTAGCTCATGTTTAACCTGAAGCCATGAGACTTCCTGGGGTCCAGAGACACTGTTGAGGACTCCCAGGGCATAGCCAGGGATAGTGATGGGGGTGTCTGGGACATAGTCATACTCACAGAATCATACTTTACAAACAACGTCAGCCTGTTGCTTAACTAGTCTGTGAGACAGCTCTCCCAATGTTGGCACTAATCCCCAAATGTTAGTGAGGAGGATCCCGCAGGGTTGACAGGGCTGTTTCTGCCATTGTCTTTTCCAGTGCCTAGGTTGATGCCAGGTGAGCCGTCCAGTTTCATTTCTTTGAGATTTTTGGCAGTTAGAAAGGCAAATGAATGCCAACATTGCATTTCAACAGGGCTAGAATACAAGAACAGAGATGTACTGTTGAGGCTGTATAAGGCACTGGTCAGTATTTGCAATACTATGAGCAGTTTTGAGCCCCTAATCTAAGGAAGTGTGTGCTGGAGGCCAAGTCATTGAGTGTATTTACGACACTAATTAAGCACTTGTCCATTTCTAAGGGGATCAAGGGTAACAGGGAGAAGGCAGGAGAACAGGGTTGGGAAACATATCAGCTATGATTGAATAGTGGAGCAGGCTCAAAGGGCCGAATGGCCTAATTTTGCTCCTTTGTTTTATGTTCTTATGGAACTCCTGGCACAAAGCTGTGGGGGCAGGTATTTGTGGATATTTAAGGGCAATATAGATAGATCCTTGATCAGTGGGGAATCTAAGATTATGGGGAAAAATGTCGGAAAGTGAACACAGGATTGTCAGACCGTCCATGACCCTATTGAATGGCAGAGTAGGCTTGAGGGATCCTATTTCTTATGGTCTAAGGTCCACAAGCCTCTTCTGGCTTCCTGTCTGACAGACAGATCTTAAAAGTTGTAGCCTTAGCCAGAGCAAATAACAGATTACAATCCATTTAAAAGGTTTTATTAAGTGTAAAAAAATGACCATTTAGTGAACAATTTTTATTTCTTTTTACACAAAGCTGTGACTAATGCATCTAATGTTTAGTGAAAAGTATTTCTGAAAAACAAAACAGTAAAGTTCTCTGTTTGGACATACAGATGCTGAGAGATTGGCGTCTTCTTGCCAATAACCTCTGTACGAATTAAAAAGGAAAGATTACATTTGTACAATTATCAATTTAGATTATCAAAATACATAGAGAAAACAATGTATAAATCCCACCATTAGCTACAACATTGCTGTCCTGCTCAGTGTCAGGAAAAGAATTTCTCAGAACTATGTATTTTTTTTCCCCTTTTTGCAATTTTATCAAAATTCGTGCGACTGTCAAACAGGAAGAGAATAGAAGAATTTTCCTGAATCAAATCACAGTTTCTCAAAACCCCTCCGTTAAGAAATGATAATCCATATTAAAGATTCATGTAGCACCATATTACAAAGATCAGGGAGGAGCTCACATTGTTTAAAAAAAAAGCCGCTGACTTATGTTAGTCTGCAGCGTGCATGGGGTCACCAGGGTTTGTGTGCAAGCCTGGAAACATTTGCATTCTGAATCAACAAGCAATACTTCTAAGGGAGAGAAGGCTGCAAATCAGATTGCTGGTCTTGGAGATGGTGGGGGCACATTCAACAGGGATCTGCCATTCCATCCAGTTCTCACTCTCCCTATGACTTATACCGTACACCAACTATTCTCAAGTACAAAGGGGACAATAAGATCAGGTTAGAAAGAAGGAGTAAATATGATAATTGGCTGTGGATTCTCACTATAACAACAATCTACTCAAGAGATGACAGATTGGCCATCAGTTCGATTCAAGCCTATGAAGTGATGTTTATCAACAAGTTCAAAGAGGCTTTAAATTGTAAATTGTGCTCTGAACGAGATAGTTCCACAGAACATAGCCAATAATATCCTGGACTGAACAACCATACTTTGTGAACATCCCAGGACCAACTGACTGGAAAGCAGGATTTTCCACTGGGTTTGGTGGGGGAGCACTTTAGTGAGCTGCCAGTTCCTTTGCTTCATCCTGCAGACAGCTAGATCAGGGCCTGAGCCACAGCACTGTCACAAGACATGGCGTCCAAACACCCCTACACAAGGCCCACATACAGTAACCCGAAAGGAAGAGGAGAAAGCCTATTACTGGAGCTCTGTATGCTCCCATTTCCCAGATGTGGAGGGGCTGGTGTTGGTCTGGGGTGAACAAAAGTCAAAAATCACATGACACCAGATTATAGTCCAACAGGTTTATCTGAAGATACAAGCTTTTGGACTCTTGCTCCTCCTTCTGGTTTTATTTCCAAAATAGGAATTTATAAAATTGACTGTTTAGAAATGGTGCGCTTTTTGAACACTACAGGTGACCCCACTACACTGAAGTGTTGTGTCCTCTCACACATATCTATGGTGTTAATTTGCATTTGCAGATTTGTAATTGCAGATACTCTATTTTGTTCAAAAAGCACACAATTTGTAGACAGTCAATGTGGCATTTTATAAATTCCTGCTTTGGAACTAAAATCAATCTGACTCCAAGTTAAAACACAGCCAGATCCTAAACAAGGCCTCACATCTAAAATGCATTGTCTGACCTGGGATGTCACCTCTAGAATACCGAGGGAACTGATAAAACCTTTAGTTATCTCAGGCAGTGACTTGAAAGAAATTCTTGAATTTGCATATTAATCCTCTCTAACTGATTAAAGATTTAACAGCCATCTTAGGTTTGTTCAACACATTTGCATCAGTTCTACGACCCCCGAATCTTTTGCTTATAAATTCGGTGTCTGATACCACCTCTCTCACTGACTCCTGAAGGAAGAGCGAGGCTCCAAAAGCTCATGTCTTCAAATAAACCTGTTGGACTATAACCTGGTGTCATGTGATTTCTGACTCATTTCCCAAAACACTGGATTCCAATGCAGTATTAAACTCTGTCTGCTCAGAGACAGAACATGAGTATCCCATTGAAATCTGATGTTTCACAGAAAATCAAAGGAGTTTGGAGAAAAGCTGAGGGGTGGAGTTGGGGTTGGGGAGATGAGGGTTATGTACTTTTATCAATCCCTCATCTCCCCATCCATGAGAAGCTGACACCTCTATACAGGAGAGATCAGGTGGTGAACCTGACTGTCCACAGAGTTTAAAAGATTAGTGTTTCCTTGCTTAACAACAATAGAAACAAAATGAGGGCGTCTCCTATTTGCTTTGTTGTTAAAGTGACTGGGATCTTCCTTATCGCGGTTATGTTTTCACAATAAATGGAACAGAACCCAGTGTACACGGCAGCCTCTCAATGCAGTGAATGGCAGGGTGTAAGTGCCTGCTGACTGCTCCTTGGGTAGCCTGCAAAAGGAGGGAAGGACAGGAGGTGACCGACAAACAATTCCTTTTCCCCCATGTTCGCCAAGTAACCATCCCAGGGCAGGAACAGAAACGTAATGCACATTAGTCATGTCTCTTGCAGATGCTCCAAGTTTAAACACTGTCCTCTAGATGATGCTTTCTGTTTACCTTTGATAAGAGTTTGAAACATTGTAAATTGCAGCATAAGAGGCCACTTGGTCAGTGATCCACCCAGAGTTTGCTGGTTTCAGATGCTCTTTTTCACAACACTTCTCCATTCACTTCAAATACTGCTATTAGCGTTAAATAAAAGGAAAATCAAAACAGCATTAAAACCAGGTTGAGCACAAGAGAGCTGTTAGAGTACCAACACAGTCACCCGTGAGTCTGCAGAAGCAACATGTGGAACCATAACAATTAACAAGGTTATCACGTATAAAGAGTTCAGTCCTTGTGGGGTCCACGCCATACTCAACAATAAAACACAATTGGCTCAGAGGATAAGAATTGGCTGCACCCTAGATATGCATGCACACACACAGGTAGAGCAAGCAAGACCAGGCATCAACTTCCTGAGAGGGGGTTTTCTTCTGGTTTATAAGTTTATACAAAAAAAATGTTCAACCTCAAATGAAGAAATGAGGTGGAACGGTCTGGCATGTGGTGCCTATGGAGGATGCAAAGTGTCAGAAGTTAACATAACTTCACCTGAATATGTAGTCACAGAACGCTCGTGAGAGCATTTTATATTAAAAAAATTAAACACCAAAAACAGACATTCTCCCCTCCCATCCCACCAGTAAAATAACTTCAAGTACAATATACAAGAATGTCCAACAGGGGAAACAAAAACTTGAGTCTCATCACCCATCCTGAACCAGAAAAGAACTGTCCAAGTGTACAGTAAAAAAAAAAATCACTGCACGTTCTCACTATCACAGCCTGCAGGACTTGTGATGAACTGCTCCCATGTTGGGACCCAACTGATTAGAAAGGGCAGATGCTTCAGTCAAGGGTCCGTGCTTGATACAAGCATGGAGGCCATGTCTTCAAAGTTGCGGGTTAGCTGCCACGTCACCTTGCTTTCCTGCTCAGGGAGGCACCGTGAACGGGCCAGAACTTGGCGACATCCATAAAATTCACCTTGTGCTCCAGTGAGATCACTGGGGAGAGAAAAAAAGGTCAACAGGATACAAAACATCAGCACCTCAGGCAAAACAGTTAGAATATAAATAATTTCAGGGGCAATTTTCCTCCTCACTGCTGCTCCCTGCGAGGAGAGCTGGAATTTACAACTGAGACTTCACTTCTCAGCCACGGTTCACTACCCAGGAAGTACAAGCTTGGCTGAACAAGGCAATTCAGCAGATTTCTCATTCTGCACAGAACGGAAATATTGGAAGGAAATGAAAGAAACCAATTGAGGGCGAGCTGCAGAACAAGATACATGAGTGAGTTAGAAAATATATATCGGTTTCACTCAAGGAGATCCAAGGAGGGAGGCAAAGTGAATTCAGTTTGTAGATTAGTGTCAACATTGGGAATTGAGGCTTCTTGGGAAGGTGACGAAAAGACGGAATTATGCTGAAGAACTAACTTGCTCCTCCTCACACCCACTGGAGACTGCAAGAGCAGATCAGTCTGTTTTGCCTGGTGGTGGTGCTACAGGACTGAACAGCACTTCCAGGGCTAAGATGCTGCTTAACTTCTGAAATCATCCCCATTTTATTTGAAAGATAGGAGAGTGACATTTTAAAAGAAACATAATGAATTGATCAAATAATTGCCAGCACAAAGAATTTAATTGACAGAATTGACAGAGTTGTTGCAGAAAGGGCAAGTTTATGAGGACCACCAATCTCGTACCCACTTGATAAGGAAAACAACTGTACATCTTAGATCAGTCAAACATTCACATTTCCAATTCTCCTCATTCTCAGTATCTTGACAACCCACCAGACTTTTCACTCACCCTGCTCCCCACCCCTGCAGCCGAGATGGAGACTGAGCTTACGTTGTGTACATGGAGACAGCTGGCAGCTCAAGACACAGGAACATGTGACGCGCAGTCAGGCACAGCTTGGCCTCCAGGTTTGGGGCCACAGTTTCCAGAAGTAATTCTATTCCATTCCTTTCAAGCACACTCCAATCCAGTCCCACACAGCACACAGGTTCACTGCCTCTTACCAGCTCAACAAACTTTCCCAATCCCTGGTTTCATAGATCTACAACACAGCCTGCCTGGAGACAGTGCCTGTCCAATCTCCCTCTGCCATCACAGTTAACTATGAACATGGCATTGCAAAATTTGTAGAAGTAGGAGAGTCACTACTTGTGAAACAAATACTAGTTTTCCACCCACCTGGTAGCTGCCAGTAAACGCTGTGGAGAGATGGCAGCAGCCTTTGGTCACCAGATGATGATATCGCGGTGCTTACTGCTGCTCGCTGAAAGACACAGAAATGACACCAGTCAACACACCAAGCTCCTCACGTACATACCCATCACAGAGTGACGACCTGAAGGAGTGCCTGTGTCCAGCCACTGGACAGAATTCATCACCAACTGAACATCAAATACAAAACGATCCAACTGCTAATGACAAACAAACTGTATGTCAAAGCAGTTCTTGATCTCAGATGACACGAGCTGCACAGCGCAAAAGGGAGAGATTAGCTCATGGTAGGAAAAGTGACTCCAGGTTACTAGTTATTGCAGTGGGGTCAGACAAGCAAGTGTCTGTGAGAGAACACCACAAGATTCTTAATCCTCAATCCTGTCATGGCTAAGAGACAACAAGGGAAAACTACCATGGGGATTCTGGAGAATTTACCTTGGATCATCGGGCCAGTCTACGTATTCCCAAAAGCACAGCGGAAAATGTCACATGGACTGGACAAAAAACAAAGATATAAAATAGTCAAACTGCAGACCATTGCTGAACTGGACTGTGTATCTCATCAGTCAGGATCTGACTTTAGATCAGGGAAACCATTACCACAACACATCCCACTTTCGTTCCACAAGGGGAGTTCCAAAGTTAGTCAGAGAGTAGATATTACAGGTGAACCAGGGAACGTGGTGAGGAGGAACAGTGGAAGGAACATCCCAGGACTCCTCAAACACCTCACAGAGAGCTCCTAGTGCCTACTATTTGCACATATAAAGCTTTAAAATTTGACTGAAACATGACATACTGAAAGGAAACAACTGCAACCACACAGGGCAGGATTAGGAGTGGCAGTTTCACTGTGGGGAGGCAGCTAGAAACAGCTTGGTGCTGTGGTTGCTTTAACAAGCGTCTGGTGTGGTGAAAGGTGTGGCTTTTTTTTGAAACATGATCTGAATCATTTTTGGGCATTGCTTTTTTTATTGGAGGGATTTAATAATTAACTAAGTTAGTCTTGTTCAGAGCAGTTTTGGAAATTAGCTACATCAGTAAGAGAGTCTACTTTATGAAAACTTCCAGAAGAGGAATATTTGGCCCAAACTGGCTGGTTATTCAAGACTGAGGAAATCTAAGATCACAGGACAAGAATTGAGGAAGAAAATGCAGTTCAGTCAAGATGAGTTAGGAAAAGAACTCTGGCTTTTGAGTGACTGTAAAGTGGTGCTATCGGGGAGCAAATGGGATTTTATTTGCCAAGTATTTCAAAATCTTTCAAGCCATGTTACTGAGATAGTTTGGTTTGTTTTCTTTTATGTCTATTGTCTAATAAACTTCTGTTTTATTGTTAAATGCAGCATGGCATTCCTTTGTTTCAGTGAAGGACCATCACATTAAATAAAAAAAAAAGTAGTGATAGGATCGGACACAGTCAGTATGGATTTACAAAACGGAAATCATGCTTGACAAATCCACTGGAAATTTAAAAGGATGCAACTGGAAGAGTTGTGAGGGGCAGCCAGTGGATGTGGTTTATTTAGACTATCAGAAGGTCCCACATGAGGTTACATGTAAAATTAAAGCACAGGGGACTGGTAGTAGTGCACTGGCACAATTAGAGAACTGGCTGTCAGGCAGGAAGCAAGAAGTGGGAACAAATGGATCTTTTTCCAAGTGGCAGGCAGTAACTAGTGGATACCACAGGGATCAGTCCTTGGACCCTAGCTATTCACAATATTATGAATAATTTAGATGAGGAATTAAATGAAATATCTTCAAGTTTGCAGACAATACAAAGCTGGGTGGGAGGGCGAGCTGTGAGGAGGATGCAGAGATGCTTCAGTGATTTGGTCAAACTGTGTGAGTGGGCAAATACATGGCAGCTACAGAATAATGTGGATAAGTGTGAAGTTATCCACTTTGGTAGCACAAGCAGGAAGGCATATTATTATCTGAACAGCTCTAAATTGCAAGAGAAGAACATTTAGAGAGACCTGGATGTCCTTGTACAGCAGTCACTGTAGGTAAGCAGGCAGTGAAGTAGAAAATGGTATGTTGGCTGCATAACAAGAAGATTCACGTACAGGAGCAGGGAAGTCTTGTTAATGCAATTGTACAGGGCTTTGGTGAGGCCACAATGGACTACTGTGTGCAGTTTTAGTCTCCTTCTCTTCGGAAGGATATTCTGGCAGTGGCAGGAGTGCAATGGGTTTCCCTGACCGTTTCCTGTGATGGCTGGTCTGTCTGAAGAGGCTGGATCAGGGAGGACCATATTTAGTGGAGATTAGAAGTTTTTTTTTGTAGGGGGCAGTGGATCTCACATGAATCCATAAAGTTTTAGCAGAAAGAGACAAGGAAAATGCAGGCAGGCTACAGTTCATGGAGCTAAAGGGATTAAAGGCTATGGGGAGAAAACAGGAACAGGGACGTCACCCATGATCATACTTAATGGCAGAGCATGCTCCAAGGGCCGAATGGCCCACTTTTCCTCCTCCTATTTTCATGTTACTGTTATCTATCAAGGCAGTTTTCATTCTGGGATCTGACGTGTCTAGTTACAGAGCTAGCATCAGCTGGAGTCATAACGTTGGATGCTGTGGTCTCGATAGATCATGTTTACAAACAATGCAGCCTGGGAGCTCTGTTCTCAGTGACTGTGCCCACACTTTCCAGAGTTCTGAACAAGTCATACCAGATTCAGAACAGGAGATAGTAGGAACTGCAGATGCTGGAGAATCTGAGACAACAAGGTGTAGAGCTGGATGAACACAGCAGGCCAAGCAGCATCAGAGGAGCAGGAAAGCTGACGTTTTGGGTCTAGACCTTTCTTCAGAAAAAAAACTTTTTTTCTGAAGAAGGGTTCAGACCCGAAACGTCAGCTTTCCTGCTCCATTCATCCAGCTCTACACCTTGTTATCTCAGATTCAGAACAGGAACTGCTTCTCTGCCACCACAGATCCTTCAGCACTTGCTGTTTTTATTTCAGATTTCCAGTAACTGCAGTGTTTTGCTTTTACAACATATTTTGGACTTCAGAAGCATAAAAGAAAATCACGTGAAAATCCAAGATTCTGAAAGGGCTTGACACACTTGTCGTTTCCCTTGGCTGGGGAACCTAGAAAATCAGGGGCAGAGGAAGGAGCTGATCATTCACAACTGAGCTGAAAAGACATTCCTTCGTTCAAGGGGTTCGTGAATCTTTGGTTTTCTCTACCCCCAGCAGGATGCTGGATGCTCCATCACGGAACATACTGAAGGCAGAGCAGGAGCAAGAGCACGAGCAGGAAGCCAAAGAACAGCCATGATACTACTGAATGGTGGAGCAGGCTCAGGTAGCTATACAGTGCTCTTCTACTCTATTTGTTGTGCTGTTTATAGGGCAAGAAAACATCCGCTACACGTTTCCTTCAACATTAAATTGGGGACATTTGGAATGGGATTAACTATATCAAACAACTCCTTTCACATTACAACCATGAGATTACCTGTTCTGAGCCCGGCATTGACCTGCCTGCTAGTGCTGGGAGGCACGTGGGCCTCAGAGGCTGCCTGGACCGGAAGAGTTCGGTATGGAGCAGTCAACTCATCATCCGCAGAAAAACTGCTGCGCGTCCCGCCACTCATAGGCAGGATCGACAAACTGACCGGCTTCTTCCCAACTCGATTCTTCCTCTCTAAACATCAGGTCAAACTTTGTTAAGCTCTCATTATAGCGTTCTAAATGTCTGCACTACAGTCACTATCAATCTTATTAAAATACATGGAAGCAGTAGAGCTCAGTTGTGTAACTAATCTATAACTGGGCCTTGCTGGGGTCCAACTACTCCTGATGGAAACTCTCCGCATTTGCTCTGTTGGTCAGAGTCAGTGGCTTCAATGCAATGCGCTCAATATTGGAGCAAGTAGCAAAATGAACATTCACCAAACATCCCTTGCTGTGTAATGATATCTGCTTTAAAGCACGCATGAAGCTAGGGGATTGGAACATCAGGTAGTTATTGGAATTCCACCATCTCTCTGGGTCACACATGATAAATACTCACCGTGAAATAGATTTTGAATGTTCAATTTGCTGAACACAACCTACTGAGCAAAGAAGAGCTTCATTCAAAGTTTCCTTTGATGAATTCTTGGTGAAAGAAAGCAATATTTCACTCAATGTTTGTGGATAGCTATTCATAGAATGAAAGATAATTAATCTCAATTTGAACTGGAAGAAATGATCAGATCCAGACTAAATTCTCTCCAGGTTGTGCCCATCCCACACTCCCAGGTCAGTGCAGCACAGGGTTAGATACAAAGCAAAGCTGGCACTACACTGTCTCAGTATGATAGCTGCTTTCTGTACAGCCTTGGAATAAGTGTACTCATTTGTCTTGAAATTCTGAATAATTACAGACTGTGGCCTAATTATTTCCGTAATTAATATTTAAACAGTTCTCTGGGGGCTTCATTTCACTGCAAATGAAAATGTGATATCAAGGGAAGATGAAGATTCTAAAGACCACCAGCCCCTCCTTCGCAGTTCAGGCACAAGCCCCTGATAGATCCCACCATACAAACAAGGTTTCTGATCAATCCCAGACCCTCCTGAATGTGTGGACATTAGATAAGGACAGGATCAGGACGGGCTGTGATCTTACTCAAGTCAACAGTCTGTCGGAGCATCCAACTCAGAAGTAAGAACCCCTTCAATTGACATACCTCAACGAAAAACTTCTACCCAAGAAAGTAAGCTTTTCTCCAAAACCTCACTTATTGAAGCAAACCTATTTACCAGCAATAACTGAATAAATGATTAGGAGCTGCCTCTAGGGTTTGCTGAACTATGTCACGTGAAACAACTAAATCTGACACACAGAGCTGGGGACACAGACTGAAATATACTGAGGGATCCCATTCATGAGCAGACTTTTACTCAGATGGTTCGCTGTTTGGAAAGGAGCTCAGTATCAAGCTTCCTGCTCCATTTCCCAATTAATGTTACTGTGAAGCAGGAGGAACATCACAAATCCAGATTTGAGACAACATTTTGTTCAGTGATGAGCATTTCCAGGCATGTCTTACCAGCAGCTACACAGTGCAACATCTCCCTTTCTGTCTATCAGTGCTTCCCAAATGTTCACAGTAAATAGTCTTAGTTACAATGACCAAATCTAGTTGTCCTAATGCCATGACTTGAAGAAATAGTACAAAGGCAGAGTACACACATACAGTTGGTGTGAATTTACCAGCAGGAAGAGGTAGATGGACTGGAAATACAAAATTCAATGCCAATTTGCAACAATGAACAGAGTCAGGTCGAAGTACCATAAACTGTTGTTGATGCTGACTGAACCTGGGCACCCCAAAAACCCCCTCTCAACGTAATGAAGTTCAATGGTGCCCACCATCATCCCCATACCCAAGACAACACATGCAGTGTGCTTTAATGACTACCACTCAATAGCTCTGACTTCAATAATCATTGTGTTTCAAGAGGCTGGTCATGGCCCATATCAACTAGCTTCCCAACATGCCTCAATCCCCTACAATTTGCCTACTGATGTAACAGGTCCACAGAGGATGCCATATCCCTAGCACTGCCCTCATCCCTGGAACATGTGGACAACAAGCACACCGACGTCAGGCTCCTGCTCGTTGACTACAGCTCCACTTTCAACGCCATTATCCCCTCCAGACTGATCTCAAAACTGAGACACCCTGGTCTCAGCTCCACCCTCTGCAACTGGATCCTCGGCTTTCTGACTCATAGGCGGCAATCAGCGAGGATAGGTAACTGCACCCTCTCCACAATAACCGTCAACACTGGACCCCCCTACTGTAGTCCCTGTACACCTACGACTGTGTTGCCAAATTCTGAACGAATGCCATCTACAAGATCGCTGACGACACCACTGTAGTGGGACGGATATCTAACAACGACGAGTCAAAATACAGAAGTGAGATAGAGGGCTTGGTGACATGATGCAATGAAAACACAGTCTCTCAATGTCGGCAGAACTAAAGAACTGACCATCGACTTCAGAAAGAAAGGAGGAGAACACGTCCCCATTTACATCAACAAAACTGAGGTTGGGAGAGTGAAGAGCATCAAGTTCCTTGGAATGACGATAACCGACGACCCGTCCTGGATTTCCCATGTAAAAGCGACAGTCGAGGAGGCACAACAAAGCCTCTTCTTCCTCAGGTGGCTCAGGAAATCTGGCATGTGCATAACCTCCCTCACCAACTTCTACAGGTGCACAATTGAAAGCATACTGTCTGGGTGCATAACGGCCTGGTATGGCAACTGCTCTGCCCAGGACCATCACAGAAGCCAACCTTCCACCCATGGACTCCATTTACACAGCTCGCTGCCGCAGAAACGCTGCCAACATCATCAAAGACTCATTGCACCTTGGTAATGACTTCCTACAACCTCTTGCATCAGGTGTAAGATACAGAAGCCTGAACACATGCACAAGCAGGTTCAGAAACAGCTTCTTTCTGGCTGTTATCAGACTGTTGGATGGACTCTAGCCTCATATAATGTAACCTGCAATGTAACCTGTATGCCTAAGTCTTTTTGATCGGTACATCCTTTGCTTGCTGTGATCTGCCTGTACTGCAGTAAACAAAGCTTTTCATCATATTTCTGTACATGTGACAATAAATTAATCAATATTACTGAAAGCCAATAAAGTAGCACAGATGTGTTAAAAAACCCATTACTGTAAAACCAGAATCCACTGCTCACATATACATTCTCTAAGATAACAAGTGGGTTAAACATTGCCTCCTCCCAGTCTCCCAGATGACAACACAAATGAAGAAACAGATTTCTTAACATGAGAGGCTTCAAAGATGACGTTGGCTTGTTTGTAGTCACCCTGTTGTGTCAAGATTTTCGATAAATCTTTTAGCAAGAGCTCCACAGAGAATCACAGAATCCCTACAGTGTGGAAGCAGGCCATTTAGCCCAACGAGTCCACACCGACCCACCCAGACCTACACCCGCTACCTGTCCCTGTAATCCTGCTTTTCCCATGGCTATTCCACGTAGCCTGCACATCCCTGGACTCTTATAGCAATTTCCAATTTCTTATAGCAAAGATGTGCAGGTTAGATGGATTGACCATACTAAGTTGCCCATCGTGTTCAGGTTAAATCAGTTAGCCATGGGGAATGTAGAGTTACAGGGAGAGGATTGGGGGTCTGAGTGAGGTGCACTTCAGAGGGTCAGGGCAGGCTTGATAGGCCAAATAGCCTGCTTCCACACTGTAGGGATTCTTTATGGATGTGGTTTAAAAACAGCTCTAAGGAATGGCTCGAGTGCTCAAAGATCAATACCAGCTGCGAAAGATTATGTTTAAAATCATCAGGCCTCTGCTCACCTGCTCCCTTCCTGGAGTGAGACTCACATCCAGCATTAAGCCCACTTCACCCTGAAATACACTCCTGCCCAATCAACGCACAGGCTGAT